ACAATATATAGGTACAACACTGTGAAAATTGTTCTAAACTGCGTCGATGGGGACGTAAAATACACCTGTACATATTCCTTATAGTAAGAGTTTTACGGCACTTGCAACACAATAAGGTCATATAAGTGCCGAAAATTAGAGGTGTTACAAGAGAGTAACAAACACAAAAAAGAAGGAGTGGAGATCAGGACGATAGATGTTTGATAGGAAAGAAGGAGCAACCACACCAGGGCAGCCTCCAACCACCCACCTACTGTATATTTAAAGACCAAAACAAGTCAAGAGCTAATTACCACGTGATGTGACCCTCCCCTCTCTCCCCCCGTGGCGGGCCACACAGGCTGACATGTGCCGGGCTACTGCTACTACAAGGCAGGGTTGGGGGACATTCCATAGACTTGAGTTATAACATCACACTAGATCGGTACCTGTCATCGCCGACACTCTTTGCTCTCTTAATGAATCAATAAATTGATGAATAGATAAATCAATAAATAAATAAATAAATAAATAAATAAATAATTAAATGAATAAAACTAACTAAATAAATAAGATAAGTAAATAAATAAATAATTCAATCAATCAATCAATCACTTCGTCAATTTGCTGCCTACAGTGGACGCCCAAAAGAAGGACAAAACACAACCTTCGTTATAGCCGAGAACAAGCCACACCAGAGCACCCGCCACTCACCCACTAGTTAGAGTTTTACGGCATTCACAACACAACACGGTCATATAAGTGCCGACAATTACACGATAGTAACACGCACAACAAGGGGAGGGAGATATAAGGACGGTATGTGTATCTTGGTGTTTTACGCCCCCATCAACACAAGTTAGACTATCTAAGAGGCGGGCCTCCCATCCTGCCTGTCAGGGCTAACCCGGATTGAGAGGGATACATTATTATCCCAGCAGCTAGAGTCGAGCTCGGGTCTTTTGGAACAAACATCAGCGACCACGGTTCGCCATTCCTTCCTTTGCTCGGATGCTCTTTTTGAGTTAAAAAAAGCAACACCCTGACCTTTCCCCGTCACCCATCTGTTTCGGTTCTCCAAGTAGGTTGCTCTGGGTCTACCCCTGCCTCGTTTGCCTTCAATGTTGCCAGTGAGAGCTAGATGTTCAAGGCCTTTATGTCTATTCAGGTGTCCTAGAATTTGTATTGGTCTTTTCCTCGTGGTTTTCTCAACCATGGTTCAATCAGTGAGCGTCCCACCACTCAATAAACCCAAATAAATCAACTACCCACCCCCACCCCCCCACCCCCATCCCAATCTGACCCTTTTGTACATACCCACCTTTTATTAACCCCCCTCCCCC